ATAATTCGACGACGTTCACTGATTGTCATTTAGTGGTGTCGAAAGTATAGCTTGGCCGGTGACATGATTGACATCGGTAAATAAAACACTTAGCCTTTTGTATTTGTGCTGAGTTTTTATCAGCTATCTGTCCATTAGGGCTGACGCAACTCCACAAACTAATGAAGTGGTCGACATCCTCAATCATTTCACTGGCTATCTGCAAAATAGGAGTCAGCGTAGACAAATCCTGCAGCATCATTTTATATCTCACAAGGGCGAATCACATACCGAACATACCAAGTTTTCTGCTCAAGTTGTTCAGATATCTCCTCATTTCGCCTGCGTCTGCGTCTCATATGTCTATCTATGTCATCTGTACACTCCAAATCGATGGGAGCGTTCTCTAGTAACAAGTCAATTTCTAAGTCATATCCGTTAGGGACTCCTGAATGACTACTTGAGGTATAGTAGGGCGCGTTGACCAGTACTATTTATTTCCTCGGCACTCTCTTCACAGTCAGACATTTCCACACTACCTCTCGGTCGATGCAGTCAAATTCCATATTCGAATCAAGAAGACGCCGGTTGATATTCTTATTTTCCAGAATCTGTCCAAAGGTGAACATATGAACGATACACCGCAGTCTTGGTTCATAGGTCGCCTCGTTTTCATAGATTTGTTCCTCCTGGGTAATCCTCAGTCGATGCATGATTATTGTGATTATTATTCTTATTGAAGAGAGGAGTTTACATACTATGTCAGTCAAACTAATCCCCCTCTATGATTATCGCAGGTAATCTTGTCTCCTTTCTGATACTTATAAACTAGAACGATCAACGATCTCATTGACACCAGTCCGGTGGGACTGTCTCAGATTCCCACACATAATCGAACATCCTAGTCAATAGTTCGTCACCGCCATTCCTAAACACCTCTGAAGTCAACAACGTCCTGATATCGCTGATTTACTTCATTTTTGACTAGAGACAGCTTTCGCTATTTCAGTTATATTTGCATGACCCATGTATACATCCTATTCAGGTAGGTCTGTTTCAAGACCAGTTGAATTGTTTCCGAAAGTGCTCTCTCCAATGTTGCATTCATCCATTCTGGGAAGTAAGCAAGCTACGCTTCTTCTCAGAAATCGTTCCACTCACCACTGGAGTTCTACAGGTTTAATGAGTCCAAATAGTTTTCCTGTGTTACCTATGGCTCATGTTTCTTTCTCATTTCTCACCTACCACTGTTCACGCTCATCGCAAGGACATTTATTCAGTTTGGGTTTGAGCAGAGAAAGCTGCTCATCGTGTCCGGATGAATCAGAAGAAATCCACTGGTATTTACTAATTGCTGGTTTCAGGTTATTGACTGCCTTACTACTGTCTCTACATTTGACAGGATACATACTACTGTCGGTCCGTACGAAAAAGCCCTCATTTCTCGTCAAATTAGGGGCGTGGCGGATTGATGGCTGCCCGTTTTCTATAATTGCTCAGTCGTTGGCATATATATGCAAGGGCCAGAGCATGGTGGTAGTCTACACAGGCGTTTAAGAAGTAGCGGGAGTCTTCTTCTGACCTTCTCCATCGATAGCCAATCACCACGTGATCTGTTTGAATCCATAGTCGACTTGGTGTCGAAGGTCGTCAGGTGAGACAGTGTCTCTCCTCATGCTTGAAATTAGTGCTGACCTGTATGAAGTGATTATTTGATCAGGATTGCAAAAATGACCACCGTTGTCAGTTTGGTTGCACGAGACAACCAAGCCATCTTCCGTGAATAGACGTTTTTGACTGGCACACGATTCCTGCTTTCGCTTCACCATAATCATAGTGTTTATTTTATCTTGATAACAATCGTTCCCATTGACAGTTTTCCGTGTTTGACTTCAGCTAACTGCGTTAAACTGGCCTTTTACGTAATCTAAGTGTTGAATTGTTTATCGACTTATTTGTCTGCTAGCTTTTCTGTTCAAGACATACCATTACGGCTTTGTTAAACTCTATGTCGAATAAGATTCACAACTCCAGCTTATTTGAACACTTTTCGAAATTATTTTGTGGCGTAATATCCTATACCGTTTCTTATCGACTAACCTTACTTTACTGCATCACATGATGAGAAAACATGTCATTCTGATTCCCCTGATGATGTCCTTTCTCATAGTCACCCTGTCACTGTGAATTGTTTTAGTTTGGCTCCTCACAGCAAATATGAAAAACGACATTCACTCTTGAATACATGGATAAAACTTGTTTTCATTTCAGATGCATGTAGAACCAATAGGCACCATAGTGAATATAAGAAAGGCAAATAGGACTTCGCGTCGGCGGCATAGCGGTTAGGACGCTCGCCGACCATGCACATGGTCCGGGGCTCGATCCTCGGCCGACGCACTCCCTTACCTCGCTAAGCCAGAAATAATGCTGGTAAAGAGGAAAGGTTGGGCATGGGATCCTGTAAAGTAAACACTGCTACAGAAACTTCAAGCTGACTCTATCTTGAAGCCCTATGTTCCACTGGGGAACGTGAACGAAAACAAATAGGACTTCAATAGCAGTCAAGCATAACTCTTCCTTCATTCAATAGTCCGGAATCACTAACTTTCTAAACATCAGCATAATCTGCCAAATCTTATATCACTTACTATCACACATCTCACTAGTTAACAAAATTCCACTGTATACTTTTGGATATTCCAGCAAAGCATAACTGATTTCATAAAGTCACTACTAACAACATCCGCCACCGAAATAAAACAATGTAGAAGAAAACAAATGACACGTAGAAAAGTCTGTTTTTAATTAAATCACTTAGTGAACATAAATATAAAATCGACTAGTAAGTGTTGGTCGATAAGGCTACAGTCAATAGTGAGTGTAATACAACTACTTGTCCAATCCATAAAGTCAACGTAAATCGTTAGAAAACTAAGGACAGAATTCAATCCTTCCATGTGAGTGAGATCGCTGTCTGTAGGAACGCGTATATATCCACCACTTCGTCAATCTGAAATACAAAATAAGAGAGAGTGATCTTGTCTGAAGATTGAAAAATAAGTGGACATTTCGGAATATCACTCACTGAACTGTTATTAGGCGTCATCATGGAATATGTGACTAGGAGTGGCGTTCACACGTGTATAAGTGTAGAAGGAAATACTGTCTCACTCTCTGGTCGATTCTTATGCATCATGGAAATGAATCGACCCTTCTGATCACACAATGACTACCATGTGCACGCTGATGAAACACTAATAATGATGAGTCACATGCATCAGGGATCCTTGGACACAATTAACTACAATCCTAGTAGCTGAACTGCTATAGTTAATCTCGAAACTCTCGCACTTCCAGCTTACTTACTAAACCTCCTTCTGGATATAGACACCAATTATCAAACAGTCAAATACACTTCTTCATTTCTAAATTACGTCTTGTGTGGAACACAAATAATTTGTCTTATCATAACCTACACATCTGCCCAACTCAGATACAAAACAATTAAGCTTGTCATTGATTACTGGTAAGTTATCCGGAGGATTTGTAGCGAAGGTGGATGATATCAGTGTAGTTGTGTTATTTGAGCTGGATGGCTGGTTTCTGAAGCTTTCATTCTCTCCCTCGACAACAACAACCTCGGCGCCGACTTCAATATGAAAAGTGAGCTTTTTCAATTCTCCGTGAATCATATCACTGTCTACCCTGATGACTTTGATTTTGCAAATATTACTAGTGAGTCTGTCGACACGTTCAGCACTAAAGAGGAGTTCTCTACCATATGGGAAGAATGAGTGTATCCAGGTGAAATTAATAGACTACATGAGTTCAGCCGTTTCTAGTTCTATCAAGCAGTCTCAATATCTAATGGCATAAAATCTCGGTGTGGTCGAGAAATTTTATGCGACTAATAATCCAGCATGGCCTTCTTAATTAGTGGATGATTTTCCAGCATAGTGGAACGTTGTTCTGTCACTTATAGATCAATATTTGCTTTTTTGAATGATAAATAATTACAGTTAAGTATAACAAACACATTTAACGCAACGGTGTACAGATTCTTAAAAATACTGTGAATGTGGGCATTGTCGCCAGTTTTTGATATGGACTTCTGATGGTCTTTAAATATATGTTTTTGACCATTATGGATAAGATTTTATTTGGATAAATCACACAGTGTTATACAGTAATATTGACTGATGACGTTTGACTTTTATTCAAATATCTAATCAATTCCACACATGTATATAAATGAAGGAAAAAAGTTGTGTGAATGACTTGATATGATTACTAGGAATAGTTTATGCTAGAAACGTCATCAGTTAATATTACTGTAAAACACTGTGTGATTTATCCAAATGAAATCTTATCCATAATGGAGTTATACTCTACCACATTGCGCAATTTTTATACTGATATCAATGTTTTTGACCAGTCGTAGCTGCTGTTTTTGTGTAGTGAAGTCGCCTGCATTAAAAACTTCATCTGAGCGTTTTTGTTCTTATTAGATGGATAGTTTTTTTGATAGAATACATCCTTAACTTCGTCCGAAGGACGGTTGGATGGGGGCGTTAGCGGAAATTATGAAAGAGAACCGACTGGTGTCACGGTCTTTCCTTATTCTAACGGTTATATTCAACCAGACAGCATGCATACAACTCTGCTTTGGGATGGAGTCAAGTAGTTGGAATCAGTAACAGTTGTACGAGCCTTTCAATTGCAAATGCACTCCTGATGTTTGTCACTATGGCATACTTATTGAGCACGAAACCCTAAGACGGTTATTTTGCAACCGAATGAATTAAGATATTATAATTGATATTATATTATTTGAAAATAAAGAAAATAGAAGTAGAAATAAAGAAAGCATCACAGGATAAGTGAATATGTTAGGCCTGATGAAAACAATGAAAGTATATTCTGTCAGACAAAAAAGAAATTAATCAAAGAAAAGCGAATCAATGTTCGAGATCTTCACCATCAAAAACTCTACTGCTGAATTCTGGAACTGATTCGTTGTGTCTTACACCGATGTGTCTTTCGATTGTGAGAATTTTTCTGAATTAGACAGTTTTTTCATAATAATGTGTGCAGCTCTTAATGGATGTGATGAGTGTGTTGAAGTATGCACAGCAGACACACCATGTGGTTCACCTTCACATGAACTTAGTTTTTTATATGACTTCAGACTTCCAGCCTTTTATTTGCCAGACGAAATGATAGATAGTCTGAGACCTTGCAAAGGGGATGCAGAGCCTGGTCGATTTCGAAGGTCCAGGCGGGAACTATCCCCAGGAAGACAACTGTAATCAATACTGTCATCAACATCGCATTCAGCTTCAATTTCTTCCTCTGCCTCATCTTCGCTTTCACTATAACATCGAAATGCGGCTGAAGTTATATCAATAGGTTGACGTTGTCCACTTCTAGTACGTGCAGGAGATGACGACTGTCCAACTGAGGGTGGAAGAGCACTATTCCGAGGGAAAACCATGGGGTAAATAGCATGTGCTTCAGATGGTAATGAACTAGAACGTAAATCCGAAACAGAAAATGATGGAGATGAGTTCAAATGTATTGGTTCATGTTTTGAAGGAGATAATGCCCGCTGAAATATCAAAAAGACAATACTTTATATTAGGAAAGATTATGAATACAAAAAACTACATTGCTTTATGTTTAGAACAACAAATAAAGTGCTATTATCTATTATAGACTTAACAATCCAACACTAGAAAAAGTCACTGAAATTTTAGTTTCATACGCCAAAATATTGATCACATCTCTAGTGTGCGACGCATTATGTGATGACATACACAGGTTTACTTAGACGAAGTGAATTCGAGCTCATGAATTAATTATTGACCAAGGTTACTGAACCATAACCACACTTTAGCGTGAGACTTATAACGCTACACCATTTCCGTAAACAAAACAGCAATTAAAATAAAAACTTCAGAAAATTTACCCGCCTTAGCAACTGATTATGTCTACTAAATTACAAATCTTATCGAATGGAATGTTACAGTCTTCTTTGAATGATCGCTACTATTCGAAAATCTAGCATAACTATACCTTGAGATTCACTAAAGTAATATTTCAAAAAGTTGTTACCACCAATGGCGTATCTTACATTTCGGTTACTGAAGCAAAGACTGGAGGTCTGTCTGTTTTCGACATAGAACTTTGCACATATGTGCGGAAGTACACTCCGTGTAGCACGCGAAGCAAGAGAAGAAAGTACAAGAAAAGCATAATAGAAACAGTGAGCAGAGGTCTGAGACGAAGAAGTAATAAAGAAAAACAAAACAGTTTCATTGGAGATCATAAGTCACAAGGAGTGGATGCATCTGCGCCATTCAGAACGATTTTGAGCCATGTCACCAATTGTTTCCAACCATAGATTTTTACCGTCCCGAGGACCCCAACCAGTAAGCCAGTCTACACCTTCCTACGTGGCTTAGACCAACTGTTGTGGATTTCATTGACTGGTGAGGCCAAGTTTTTGTTTGACCGCCGCTAGCTTTTTTCCAGCCTGACCCTATATCCGCTAACATTGCTCGTCGAGGGAGGCGATGGCTTGGCATACGTAACACATGTCCTAACCATCTCAGTCTTTGTAGCTTCACGACTTCGTCGATTGATTTCCCCTGTTTACCTAGAACTCTACGCCTAACCTCCATGTTGCTCACCTTATTATGCCACTTTACACGGGAAATAGAACGCAGGCACCTATGATCAAACACAGCTAGCTAGTCTTTTCATGTCTTCCACTCTCAGTGGCCAGGTCTCACAACCATAAAGGAGGACGGAGCGGACTGATGAGCAGTACACCCGCCCTTTGGTCGATAGTCGAACATCTCGTCTACACCAGAGTCGGCGTAAACTGGCAAATGCGAAACGAGCCCCCTGTATTCGTGCTGAGACTTCGTCAAGATCAGCCCGTTGGGGCTGATGGTACTTCCCAAATAAGTGAAGCGGTCAACGTGCTTTACCACTTCACTTCCTATTTTTAAACTAGGCGTCGATGTAGTCCAGTCCTGTAACATCATCTTGCATTTGGCGGGAGCGAATCGCATGCCAAACATTCGTAGATTGCGGCTCAAGGTGTTTAGAAGACTCTGCATTTCGTCAGCGTCCTCGCCTAGAAGGACTATATCGTCTGCATATTCCAAGTCAACGAGATTATTCCCCGGTAGCAAGTCAATCCCTGAGTCGCTGAAGTCACTTAGGGTAATATTATTGGTATTCAATTTTGGGCGTCATTAGGTCTGTCACTCCGAACAGGTTAGTTGTTACTGAATATCACGCTGAATCAAAATTGAAGTTCAACGCCGATAAAGCGAATACACGGCCTGAAGTTTAGAAGCACTCTCTGAGACACTTTTCAGCTTTTGATTAACATAGGTGAACTGTGCAGACATTAAGTACAATAGTATATATAAACTGCTTACACGGAAAATTGCATAATTTTCACGAAAACGTCTTAAAGTCTAATGACTGCAACATATTTGTTAAATCAAATTAAGCAGGGTCAATAAACCAAAGCCGACGTGGCTGATCCGAACTACTGGGAGAAATGAATCAGATATCAACTGATTTTGGTAGATAACTTACAGACTGATACACAGTCTTCAGACGTAAGTCAAACATTACCTGAACATCGAGAACCTGAGACAATAATCATAAAATCTGATACGCATGGACCTTGACCTGAAAGCAACATTCAATTTTCTCGACCGAAAGATACTCTGGGGATGTTTGGCAGTGAACGGAAAGCAGAGAATGCAGTACTCTACTCGAACTCATGCAGTCAGTCAGCCAGGTGAGAGCCTAAGGAGAGTTGTCATCTGAAGTGGTGACAACCAATGGTGTCCGTCAGGGATGCTCAATGTCCCCATTTCCGTTTTGATTTCATCGTAGATACAATATTAGACTTAACCCTAAGTGACTTCAGAGACTCAAGGAATGACTTGTTAACAGGAAATAATCTCGTTGACTTAGAGTATACAGATGATATAGTCCTTCTAGGTGGGGACGCTGAAGAAAATCAGAGTCTTCTGAACACTTTGAGCTGCAATCTACGAATGTTTGACATGCATTTCGCTCCTGCTGTCAAATGTAAGATGATGTTACAAGACTGGACTACACTGACTCCTAGTTTAGAAATAGGGATTAAAGTGGTAGAGCACGTTGACCGCTTCACTTATTTCGGAAATCCCATCAGCCAACTCCAGCGGGTTAATCGCTGACAAAATCTCACCACGGAGACAGAAGGCTCGTTTGGCATATGCCAAATTACGCCATCTATGACTTAGTTGACGTGATATCCGGCTGGCTATCGAGCGAAGGGTGGGTGTGCTGCTCAGAAGTCCACTCCGTCCTCCTTTATGGCTGGCTGGCTGGCTGTGAGACATGGTCACTGAGACTGGAAGACATGAAAAGGTTAGCTAGCTGTCTTTGATCATAGGTGCCTGTCTGCATTCTATCTCCAGTGTTAGTTAGTTAAGTGGTTAAGCTTCGGTCGAGTGTTAGGCAAGGAGGGGGAAATCAATCACCGATTGGTGGTTAGGACATGTGTTACGTGTGCCTAGCCATCGATCACCTTCCTCGACGAACAATGTTATCTGACATCGGATGGATCAGGTTGGAAAAGAGCTGGTGGCGTGTTCGTCAAACCAAAACATGGCACCAGTCAATGAAGTCCACAACAGTTAGTCTAAACCACATAGGAAGGTGTAGACTTCCTGGTTGGGGTTCTTCGGGACGGTAAAAACCAATGGCTGGAAACAATTGGTAATATGGCTTCAAATCGTTCTGAATGGCGCAGATGCATCTACTCCTTGTGACTTATGATTTCCAATGAAACTGTTTTGTTCTTCGTTGCTACTATTCCTTTGTATTACACCTCTGTTTAGTGTCTCTATTATGCATTTCTTATACTTTCTTCTCTTGCTTCGCGTGCTACACGGAGTGTGGCGACTTGAACTTCCGCACATATGTGCAAAGTTCTATGTCGAAAACAGACAGACAGGTCACGTTAGGTGAGTCACTACACTGGGTGTTTCTGAAGCACAACATGCACTACATACTTGACACACTCCACAATATCGAAGTACAGCAATAGCTAACTGCAGTTGTAAAACGAATCAACTTCAACTGGCACATATCTGTTTCTATCGTGCTGTCTACCCACCAATCAAAACGCGATGGCCTAAACAGTATCAAGGCAATCATGTTAATCTGAAATCTAGACAGTCGTTGTCTCAAAATTTATTTTCCGAGGATGCCATAAAAAATCACAACTAAGAAAACAACTTAATCAGGTCATTTAATTACAAAAGGAAAAGAATTTAGTCAACATTGAACCAATATAATTCAATTTAGTAGGCACCTGCAGTAAAAACTAGTTTTTGTTGTCATGGAATTGTATACACTGTATTTTAAATATAAAACCTTATTTATACAAATCCCAGCTCATTAGAAATATATATTGTTGGGGTATTTTAACCAAATTCCATAGGAGATAAAATAATAGTTTCTCATCCACGAAAAAATGACGACCAACTTAGGAGAATCTACATAGAACAACTCACCTGAGAGTTTACCAGAGAAATAAGAGGCTGAGGAACTGTTGTTACTGCAGTGATCTCTGCAGAACCCGTCTTCCTAGAACCAGATAACGGCTGAGATCTGGATCCAGTTATATTAGTCCCTTGCACAGTCAATACAGGGGAATCCAATATAGCTGATTGAAGAACAGAAACCTCAGACTTTACTTCACCATTTTTAGTGCCATGAGAAACCAAATAGCCAGGATTGAAACCACCGATACGAGAAGTTGGCACGCAGGATGATAATCCGATTGAAGCTAAGCCCAACTTATTCATCCACTTGGATCGATCGAGTTCAGAGTCCGAGGCAAATACAAAGCGAACCCAGTCATTAAAAATGAAAAATGCACTAGAGATAAAGGAAGGGAAGTAATCAATATTATTTCCAGATGGGAAAAAAGTGGACATTATAAATCACATATAAACGACTTGAGTATTTTTTTCCCAAATGAGTTACTGATAGAAACCTGAAAGGAAACTCAGTTTTGAAAATACCCATAGGTATAACATATTTTACATTTTGAAAACAATTTGTCCCTTTAACTAATTCAAATAGCCTTATTAGAAGATCGAGTTTAGTTATTGAGACAATTAAAACAAAAGATTTAGTTCGTTTGAATACATGAAGTTTCGAAAGCTGAATACCTACAGCTTACAAGTAAACGATTCAGTTATCTATTGACAATATGGCCACATCACATCGCTTCAGTAGAAATTAACATTCATACTGACTGGTCATTGGGGAGTAACCAGTGGGATATGTCTACATCTTAGTGTTGGTGACGAGTAGGTTCTTTCACATTCAGTTTGCGATATGCCCGCCAATCTAGAAGACTCTCTATTAAAGTACACTCTTTGAATTAATGATTGGAAATGATTCGCTAACAGTGTTAAATCCAAGTTTCGTACTTATCGCTACTCGTCAGCTTGGTATATCTGCAGACTTGAGAGGATAGATGTCCCCTTCAAGATTCGAACCGGAGTCACACAATGCTGTAATCATTGACGTTGTTGTTAAGTTATTTGGGTCTGAATACCTCTTAAATTTATTGGTAGTATTCTAGCAAATTTTCTAGAACAAAACCCCTAGTCGTTTTCCTTTTACCCTTGTGAAACTGCTTCGGAATATGCCTTCAAAGGAGTGTAAAAAGAAGTTTAACTAGAGCCAGTGTGACTTCCGAGAGATGAGTGGAAAATCGGAACACTACCATCAAACAGGTGAAATGAGCCGACCCACAACTATTAATTACAAAGAAGTTCAAGTTTTCCTGCAATAGTGTTCCACTAAGTCCCTAATAAACTGATGGTGAAAGCAACTGTAATACCTGTTTCTATGAATAAGTTCGTAGTAGTAAGGAGTGCACTATGGTCATTTCATTAGAAAAATAAAGTAGATAATGTACGAACCTATTAGATCTGCAGGAGAAGACAGTAAAAATGCCTATATACAACCTAACTGGTTGATAATTCAATATAAGCTGAAGGCATATCACTGTTATGAAGAAAATATTCATAAAATGATATGTCACTAGCCGTGTGATTGGTATCATACATTTCTGGTGTTAATTTCAATTAAAGAACTTACAATTTTCCAGATTTTACTGAGACTGCAGGAGTGATGGTAAAACCATGAAGTAGAATTAAACCTTCAGCTGAATCATCCTAAACAAGAAGTAAACAAATCATTTTATTGGTGATAATTTATTTTGAACCTACATTAGGATTTCTATAGTAGTAGAATGTTGAATTTTTGTAAACACACCATCTTTTCACGTATTTACTAGTCAATGTATTTGTTTTCTTTAACCACAGCCAACCTTGACAATCACCTTGTCCAAGATCCTTGCAAGAAATACGTCGAGCTATATGGTGAGAGAGGAATTATAAGGATATTTTGAGGAGAAAGGAGAAATAAGCTCACAAATGTGAATAATGTGTCACCAAAGTATTCATAAAAACTTCCGATATCAAGTCAATAGCACAACCACCTATTTCAGTTATAAATGTTTGACATTATTAGTATTGCTCCCATGGGTTCCTAGTAGAACATAGGGCTTCAACTGCACGTCTCCACTTGCTTATGTCTCGCTTCTGCTGTACTTTTCATCTACATCCATGTTAGTCTATACTGCTTCAACTTCTCTTTACACGATCTCCTCTATGTCACCCTAGGTCTACGTCTACTCACTCGTCGTTTCCCACTTGGATTCCACTTGAGTGATGACCTGCACTGTTCGTGATGTCATTCGACAGCCTCCCCAGTGTGTATATCCGATAAATCCATCTCCATTTTCTTCTGCTTGTTTGTTGAGCAAACGACTTTCGCCTGTTGGTTTGTTCCCAGTCAGAGTTTCTTGTTGCTAATTCTTCCTGGCCAGCCAGTGAAGGTGGTGGCGGCTGTTGATAAAGGTCTGTAACCCGGTGGAAGATATGAATATTTGATGGCTTTTGACCATAGGTATCAGATTTCATCCCACAGTTTTCATTCTTCGTGTATCATTTTGATTTTAACGGAAAGGGATACACAATGGATTTGTACATTGGTTTAGGGCAGTTTTTTCAGTCATCAGAGCAGTAAGTTCACTGAATATTAATAGAATACCAGTAAAAAATGAACTTTCTAAGTTTGGTCTCAGCTGGAGATCCAATGAGATTCAGGGAGTACTGGACGGCTGTTTCGTCCTGGTTTGGGACTCTTCATCAGGGCGCACCCATTTCTGATCAAAAAGTCTTTAAGGCTTAAAAAACCGTGTCGTCTTATTGTGAGACCAATTCATGTATCTAACAGTCGCTTAGAAATTTTGGATAGCATTTTGATCTGCCTGATTTTTCTATGAAAACCATCAAAATATCTCTGCAAGCAACTGAAACATAGCTTTGCTTTGATTGCATCTTCTTATGGAATAGTCTTTTCAGACTCTAGATATCTACTATCAGAGTTCAGCAAATGGGATTTTCACTAGCCACCTTCTCTGAACTGGGGGCTTTCTAATAATCACAAAAAGATGACAAATACTAAAGTTAACCCAATTACATTGGCAAACTAATATGTCAAATTAACGCACCACACACACCGTTAAGCTAATTCTCTCTATGCACAAGGATAGAATAATGAGATGGTAATACAATGTACAATATTCAGTAAGTTGATAAAAAAGCAAAAACTCACTTGGCTTCTTTGTTCCCAACCCATGTTTCAAGAAAAACACAAAATCATCAAGACTGGCACGATGGAGCTGCATGAAGAAAATATACGCATCACATATCTGTTATCTGAAAATTGATAAACATATAAACATTGCTGTGTTGAAAAAGCCACTTACAGAAAAGCTGTATATAGTACGACACACACGACCTTATATGAGGAAATAACAGTCGGCGCTGGTTAAGTAAGGTTCTGTAGAACATGGTATACAACGTTGAGTAGAAATACAAAGAAGAAGAGGAAGAATACAAATTGACAGTACGCTTGGGAATACAGATTGAACTGCAAAAATGACGGTGGTTCGTAAAGTATGACTTTGATTGTAACGCTTTTTTATTTCATCATTACATATGACGACGACTTTGCCGATATAAATACCATTTCGCTGCGTCTAGCACTGTTTTCTGTCATGCAAGAAATTAGACAATTAACTTCCAACGCTTTCCAATATCTGAACGAGTGTATAAGTAAACAAACAAAAATCAATTGAAATAGCAATGAAACCTATATTTTGGATCAGAGGAGAGTACAGTTCGAACTAACAGAGGCAGAACTGAGTTGTTTGTTTTATAGTGAAAAGCCAAGCTTTTATTTCGGCTGGTAATCTATTAGTAAAGATATTCCCACTGACCACGCGAGCTCGTGTTCTGGCATACACTGTGAATCGCTTTCTGACATAACAGAGAGCAAGATTCTGTTAGTTGGCTAAGGTTCAGTGTTCAAATTTTGAATATTCTTTCAATTAATTAAGAAAATTCACCGCCAAAAAAATACAACAACTGAAGAAATTAAATATCCGACATTATAATTTTTTAATGATATCGAAGCCGAGACTATTTTGTATTTTTGTTTAACCATATGGCTCGACAAACCCACGTGGCAGACCACCAAGCTTGTCCAAAACAAGTCTCATTATGGAGAATCATAAGATTGTATCAGAACACCTTTCAATATTATGTATAAAAACCGAGAGGAGTGCACACTGAAATATGCAGAGGTGATAGTCATAATGCTCTGATGTCTGAAAAAACTGCCCTAAACCAATGTGCAAATCCATTGTGTATCCCTTTCCGTTAAAATCAAAATGATACACTGATATGTATCCACATATATATATGTATGTGTGTGTGTATGTTGGTCTCTCTTTCTGTCTGCTCGCTTAGTCTGTGACCATTTCACTTGTGTGAACTTGTCTCCTTCATTAATGTGTATTCTCCTTATATTATATTATATTATATATAATATGAGTGTTTGTTGACAGTCCGTTGCTTAGTGACATATATCCATATATGGTTGTTTGACATGTCTGCTATATATATGTTGTTATATATATATTTCGTTCACACATTCTGTGTGAACTACTTTACTTACTTACCACTTTGGTGTGAGACCATTTATTTTCGTCTCCTTGTGTTTGGACAATAGAAGTATCATCGCAAACCTAGTGGTCTTCTGATTTCCGCCTTCTATCGTCAGGACTATTAGTTTCTCGACCAGTCCATAACAATAAATTAGCGACGAGTACATAACATACACGAAGAATGAAAACTGAGGGATGAAATCTGATACCTATGGTCAAAAGCCATCAAATATTCATATCTTCTACCGGGTTACAGACCTTTATCAACAGCTGCCACCACCTTCACTGGCTGGCCAGGAAGAATTAGCAACAAGAAACTCTGACTGGGAACAAACCAACAGGCGAGAGTCGTTTGCTCAACAAACAAGCAGAAGAAAATGGAGATGGATTTATCGGATATACACACTGGGGAGGCTGTCGAATGACATCGCGAACAGTGCAGGTCATCACTCGAGTGGAATCCGAGTGGGAAACGACGAGTGAGTAGACGTAGACCTAGGGTGACATAGAGGAGATCGTGCGAGTAGGAGAAGATGATAGATTACTGACAATCATGAACCCAGCTGAAGAGGACAGCAGAGAGTAGGACAAAGTGGAGATGTGTTGTTGAAGGCCTATGTTCCACCCGCAACCCAAAGGAACAATAATAATCATAATGAGATGTTACTAACTAAGCACAAACAGGTTTATGCACAAGGCGGTAAATCCTAAATATATCGACCATCAATGGTAGCATATAAACTTGGGTACGATAATGGAAGCTTCAGTTTATGAGTACCTAAGCCCATAAGTTGCTGTCACAACCACTACAGTCGTTTTATTAAGATAAACATACATTACACATACATGAATAAATATACGTTACACCAGTGAGTCGATGAACTATTTTACTAATATATGGTTGAGAAACGTGACCATAGCTAGGAAGCAATAAGGTCAGATCAGAAGTGATTGGATTGGCAAGGTCGTGAGGTAACTTGAAGCTAAAGACAGCAACTAGATCAAGTTATGTAGTTCCAAGGCATTGATGTAGGTTACAGCATTTGTTGATAATGCCAAGACGCCAAAATATCTCTATATTAATTGCCTGTTGTATTCAAGGTTATAATGTTATGTAAACTTTAAGGTAGAACTTACATTTCTATGTCGTTTATCTAAAGCACTAAATTTCGAAGAGGAACTGTTGTAGTGACGAGGAGAAGACGATGGACTTTGCTTGTTCTGAGATGGAATATCTTTCAAAAACAAGGAAGAAAAAAATGAATACAGAAGAATCCATCAAAAAGACAACGGTTATTCTAGCAAACGTGGTTATAAATTTAAGGAAATATCATTAAGGAAGCAGTAGTGCAGTCCAGGGATTTTCACGAGGATCCACAAGGATGATTAATATTTAAAAAGAGCACAAACCTGTGCTAATTTTGTTAAACTAGTTTAAGGTACAATAACCGCCAATTATTATGTGCACTCTCAGTAATCACAAAGACTAAAACGTTTACTGTTTAACAAAAACTTCCTACAACATATAAGAGTATAATAAGTCCGGGAAGCACTAATTAGAGATATAGTTCTTATCATGGATGGACATTAATCAACCACAATATTTTGTTTTTAATCTCTGTGTGTGAAACCACCACCACTGAATTATTCATGGGCTTTTACGTTATATAAGCTACCGAATCTTTTTGTTAATTGAATGCTCACTGATTTGAATAAAAACAAGTATCTAGGAGTATAATAATAATAATAATACTGTGAAGAGTTGATAAACTTCGCATAATATGATTTATAAAAAATAAAGACTTCAGTTCAGAATTATATAACTGTCTCAATTTATGAACTCACCTTCACTATTACGACTAGACATTTTGCTTAAAAGTTTTGGATCACCTGAAGCAGTACGTCGATGTGTCAAGGAAAAGCGGGGTAGTACAGATTTATTCGATGAACATGAAGTGGACCGAATATGTGAAGAAGTACTGACAGACTTATATTTCCTGTACACAACTTTTAAAACAAAATGTAAACAAAAAGTAAAGAGTATTATATTAAAGTGCAGAATTGTGTGACATCAATTGGTACTTATGAAAGACAACACACCACCTTTGTGGTATTTTTAGCGGTGATTCAGCGGCATAACTTACCTTAAATCTGAACTTTCGAGAAAAACGTATGATATAAAATAACTTCTATGTATATGCAACCGATGACTAGTTGCTACTCTAACGTAGTGGTCGAGCTTGCAGCATACCGCATAGACATAACCAGCAACACTACTAACTGGAACATATTTTGCTGCAGATTCTACTAAGCAACAAAAGTCGATTAGACAGATGTTGGACTAAAAGCAGTTACCAGAGTGTAAGTCTCGGCTTGAGGGCAAATTCGTTCCACTGACAAACAGGAATATAAAAGCAGTGAACAATCGCTGGCGACAAAATTAAAAGAAGTCGAAAAAAGCATTCAACTTAAGTAATGCCAGAAAACTATTTAGATTCATTATGGAAACGTCCTGTAAAAAACCAATGGTGAGTGGAACAATTTCTCAGATGTGCACTTTAATTACTTCTCAGAACGGATGAATGGAAAATTGGAGAGAACACATTCAGTAGCATGCACAATATCAAACACCTACCTGTACACACGGGTTGTGCAACTGTAACTAAAGTTGCAAAAACTATCTCTAAAAGAAAATGAGGTAAAGCAGAGGTATCAGGACGTGTGATTCCAGAGGTGACGAAGTATTGACTAAGTTGGCTAAGATCCTAGACTATGTGTGGGAATCTCAGGTAGTCCCAGTGAAGTGGTGTAAAATCATTGTTTGTCTCAGACAAATGTTCATGAGATAATCATAGTAAGATCAGGTTGACAAAAATTAGGATCGGAACTTCTAAACTCACTAAAGCTGTGTAGACTAAACAAAGCTCAAAAGAAACAAACCTATGAAAACCAAGTATGATTCAAGCCAGGAGTGCGGCATATTGTCCACATTTTCACTCTCTGACAGACTTTGAAACACAAGAATAATTACCGAAATCCAACATTTGACATATTTCCCGACCCGAAGGAGGAATTTGGGTCCGCCGACCGAGAAGTATCGTGAAAATATTTGCCCTCTGCTAGAACTCATGCAGTCTTCTAAGAGATTATGGAGAGTTTTAATCTGAAGTGATGAGAAACGATGTTATCCGTAAAGGACTCCCAAATTCTCCATTCCTATTGAATTTCATCATAAATGTACCAATGGATGTGACCCTATTTGACTTCGAAGACTTAGAGATTGACTTATTACCCAGGGTGGGTTTAGTCTATTAGGATATAGTCCTTTTAGATGAAGACGCAGGAGAAATGTGGAAAATTCTGAACTACTTGAGCCCAAATGTTGGTAAGTTCGGAGTGAAATTCACCCCAGCTAAATGATGCTGCAAGACTGGTCTGCACTGAATCCTAGGTTATGTATAGGGAGTTAAAAGACTGAGTATGTTGACTACTCCTCTACTTATTTGGAAAATTGCACTAACCCTGGTGAACTGATTGCTGACGAAATCTTAGCACAGATACAAATCGACAGTCTAGCGTTTACCAACCTACGTCATCACTGGGGTAGACGTGATATCCGACTATCAATCAAACGTGTGTAGTGTGCAGTAGATATCTTCTTTCGGCTGTGAAACTGAGCCACTGAAAGTGGGAGATATGAAGGATCCAGATGTCACTAACCACCATATAACGTAAACAGAGGACAAGTAGTCAAATGAAAACCGAGATTTACCTAAATACCCTGTTGTAGGAAATAGGATATGAATACCACTTATGTGTAAATGACAAGCTACAAGTAGTAAAACTTATTAAAATCTGTTAAAAGCCAACAGATTTTAAGCAACTGGTGAGTCTCTCAATTTTATTTGTTTCCTGCAGCTGTTTAAACAGTTAAACAGTAAGTTTGCGACTGTGTAGACACCCACTCACGTTAAAATACACGAATTAAGAATAAACAGTGACAAATGTTTGAATGAATTCAGTCAAAACCTGAATGACGCTCGTAGGTTGAAAATACGGTCAAGGATCTCATGGAATTTCTTTGTCCATTCATTCATTACGTTTGTGAGGTTATGAAACCAAACACTGATCAGCTCAATGACAGACAGCAATATCAACTTGATGTGGCTTGATTGTACTACTTATGAGTAGGTAACATTGTTTAGCACATTTTATCCACCAGTTTTATTTAGTTATTTGTGCTAGTTGATAATTAACAAACTCAGTAACAATTAGTCTATCATTTCACCTCCTCAATGACTGTAGCTTGTCAATTCGTATTATATAATTCCCAGAATAAATATCTAATTCAAATAATGTACGAGTAGAATTTAGATGTTAGATGAGTTGATCTGATGTAGCATACAATGAAACATACAATGATAATAGCTTATTGGATACGACGATATCAATGTATTCACACCTTTGATTACTTGCTTTATATAGTCCCGATACCTGAACCTGAAGTTTGTTATTGAAATTTCTCAAATATCGGACACAGAGGTTGCGTCATTTGGACTGTACGTGTTCAGTACTGATTCCATGGACAAACATTCTGTGATTAACCCTTTTCTCTCTGTCCACCTAACTATATCAACTTTTAATAGTTTCATTCTGATTCACTCTGTTAAGTGACTACACGTAAGTGGGTCGAGCTTTTTTCTAGATCATTTCACTTCATTGTCTGTCTGTCTATTTTCAACATAGAAATTTGCACCGATGTGCGACGGTTCAAGTGGCAACATTCCATGTAGCACATAAAAGCAAGAGAAGAAAGTATAAGAAATGCATAATAGAGACACTAAACAGAGGTGTAATACAAAGGAATAGTAGCAACGAAGAACAAAACAGTTTCATTGGAAATCATAAGTCACAAGGAGTAGATGCATCTGCGCCATTCAGAACGATTTGAAGCCATATTACCAATTGTTTCCAGCCATTGGTTTTTACCGTCCCGAAGAACCCCAACCAGGAAGTCTACACCTTCCTACGTGGTTTAGACTAACTGTTGTGGACTTCATTGACTGGTGCCATGTTTTGGTTTGACGAACACGCCACCAGCTCTTTTCCAACCTGATCCATCCGATGTCAGATAACATTGTTCGTCAAGGAAGGTGATCGATGGCTAGGCACACGTAACACATGTCCTAACCACCAATCGGTGATTGATTTCCCCCTCCTTGCCTAACACTCGACCGAAGCTTAACCACTTAACTAACTAACACTGGAGATAGAATGCAGACAGGCACCTATGATCAAAGACAGCTAGCTAACCTTTTCATGTCTTCCAGTCTCAGTGACCATGTCTCACAGCCAGCCAGCCAGCCAGCCAGCCATAAAGGAGGACGGAGTGGACTTCTGAGCAGCACACCCACCCTTCGCTCGATAGCCAGCCGGATATCACGTCAACTAAGTCATAGATGGCGTAATTTGGCATATGCCAAACGAGCCTTCTGTCTCCGTGGTGAGATTTTGTCAGCGATTAACCCGCTGGAGTTGGCTGATGGGATTTCCGAAATAAGTGAAGCGGTCAACGTGCTCTACCACTTTAATCCCTATTTCTAAACTAGGAGTCAGTGTAGTCCAGTCTTGTAACATCATCTTACATTTGACAGCAGGAGCGAAATGCATGTCAAACATTCGTAGATTGCAGCTCAAAGTGTTCAGAAGACTCTGATTTTCTTCAGCGTCCCCACCTAGAAGGACTATATCATCTGTATACTCTAAGTCAACGAGATTATTTCCTGTTAACAAGTCATTCCCTGAGTCTCTGAAGTCACTTAGGGTTAAGTCTAATATTGTATCTACGATGAAATCAAAACGGAAATGGGGACATTGAGCATCCCTGACGGACACCATTGGTTGTCACCACTTCAGATGACAACTCTCCTTAGGCTCTCACCTGGCTGGCTGACTGCATGTCTGTCTGTCTGTTTTCGACATAGAACTTTGCACAAATGTGCGGAAGTTCAAGTCGCCACACTCCGTGTAGCACGCGAAGCAAGAGAAGAAAGTACAAGAAAAGCATAATAGAAACAGTGAGCAGAGGTGTGAGACAAAGGAGTAATAAAGAAATACAAAACAGTTTCATTGAAGATAAGTCACAGGGAGTGGATGCATCTGCGCCACTGAGAACGGTTTTGAGCCATGTCACCAATTGTTTCCAACCATAGGTTTTTTCCGTCCCGAGGACCCCAACCAGTAAGTCTACACCTTCCTACGTGGCTTAGACCAACTGTTGTGGATTTCATTGACTGATGCCAAGTTTTTGTTTGACCGCCGCTAGCTTTTTTCCAGCCTGACCCTATATCCGCTAACATTGCCCGTCGAGGGAGGCGATGGCTTGGCATACGTAACACATGTCCTAACCATCTCAGTCTTTGTAGCTTCACGACTTCGTCGATTGATTTCCCCTGTTTACCTAGAACTCTACGCCTAACCTCCATGTTGCTCACCTTATTATGCCACTTTACACGGGAAATAGAGCGCAGGCACCTGTGATCAAAGACAGCTAGTCTTTTCATGTCTTCCACTCTCAGTGGCCAGGTCTCACAACCATAAAGGAGGACGGAACGGACTGATGAGCAGTATACCCGCCCTTTGGTCGATAGTCGAACATCTCGTCTACGCCAGAGTCGGCGTAAACTAACAAATGCGAAACGAGCCCCTTGTATTCGTTTTTTGCTGAGATTTCGTCAGAGATCAGCCCGTTGGTTTTGGCTGATGGTACTTCCCAAATAAGTGAAGCGGTCAACGTGCTTTACCACTTCACTTCCTATTTTTAAACTAGGCGTCGATGTAGTCCAGTCCTGTAACATCATCTTGCATTTGGCGGGAGCGAATCGCATGCCAAACATTCGTAGATTACAGCTCAAGGTGTTCAGAAGACTCTGCATTTCGTCAGCGTCTTCGCCTAGAAGGACTATATCGTCTGCATATTCCAAGTCAACGAGATTATTCCCCGGTAGCAAGTCAATCCCTGACTGCATGAGTTCGAGTAGAGTTCCTTGATCAGTGTAATGTGTTCCAGAAGGATCGACAGTCTTCCACTGACCCTCGCCAATTATACCATATCGCTATGTGGTCTTTCTGAGTCCAGAGTAGATTTGGTGATGGAGGTTGCCAGGTTACGCATTGTCTCTCTTTGTACCTAAAGTTAGTGCTGACTAGGAACAGATGATTATCTGAGCAAAACTGTGGAAGACGATCACCGTTGTCACTTCATCGTCAGGGAACTCCATACGTACCACCTACATACTTCTCAGTCTGGCACAACTTCCCTACTCGTGCACTGAAGTTTCCTGCCAAAAACAGCTATGTCTGAACGTTTTGCTTTTTGCAGCAAATTAGACAGTTTCGGGTAGAAGTCATCCTTTACTTAATCCGGACTGCAGTCGGTTGGGGCATAAGCGGAAACTACGAAAACGTAACGACGGGTAACGCCATCCTTCCTTCTTCTAACAAACCCGTTCAGGCGGACCGCACACATACGACTATCTACTGGGATCCAGTCAAGAAGTGATTTTTCTGCCCTAACATTCAAAGAAATCCCTACACCTGTGAGTCTTCGCAAACTATCTGAGAAGTCTCCTGATAACCTTAAAGTGAATTTTGCAGATTCACCTTGTCGGCCTGGTGAGGTTAAGTGAATGACCACACACGAGTTTTGTAAGCGTGTCACAGAAACACAACATACATTCATGGATCGAGATGCCAGAGTTCTTGCTGGCGATCCCTGTTATCCAATTTGGCAGAGGATCCTGACGTTGAATTCTCCTATATGAAGTTGGTGACGTGGCTTCAAGAGGCTTTTGGGGGTGTTTTTATGGCTCTTATAATTGTTTGTGGTCATAGAGTGAAGTGAAGATGCCTCACTAGCCTGAAGAATAGTACTAACTGTAGTAGGGGAGTAAGATGATGATGTGGGTAGAGGAGAATGATGCTCGGGGAGGCTTCGTGTGCTCTTGGAAGTGTGTGGGCGGCTGTTACTTCCCGGCTGCCCACACCGTGGAAGTTGATTGATTCTTCAGGTACCTGAAACAGAGAGGGTTAGTGTTGCGTGACCGCAGAGCCCAGCGGACAACTGCATGAAGTCGGTCACACACGGCCTGTATGAGCTGGTTTCTTCGAATGGTTCCGTATTAGTTAACTTACCGCCGGTTACGGATCACCGTAGGGTAAGTCGGGATGTACAATTGTTGGGGTCGACCTTTTCTAACCCCCTCTTTTCACAGTGTAGAGACAGCATAGCTAGGAGGCAAACACCTCACTGCTGTTACGTCCCTGTCCCCCAGCAGTACGACTTCGCCCACAGACCCCAAGCATAGTGTACAAAAAAATTCTTACACTGAGCAGGTAACTGCTTTTAGTCTAATCGCTATTCTAACAACCTTCATGGCGTGGTAGGACCTGCAGGAACAATAGATTCAGCCAGTGTAGCTTGTTGGGTCATTGCGGTGTGCAAGCCCAACCAGCACGTCAAGGTAGCAGCTATCGGTCAGGTATTTGACTTCACACGGTCAATCATTCTAGATCTACCTAAATTATGTTCCGATAATCTAATTAACCCTGATCTCCTAGTTTGGCATACACAATCGACCTCACAGTCATAACATGATACTTGATAAATTATATTTTTTTCTCAATTTGATATTCTAAGAGCTGTTCGCGAATTGATATCAGTTTGAGAACCATTGAAAACCAGGGAGTACTGGACATCTGCTTCATCCTAGTTTGAGAATCATCGGCAGTACGCACCCACTGGGGCTCGAATCCAGGACCTTGCGGTAGCGCTAAATCACGAATTGGTAGAAGTTAGAATTCATGGGCTGGCCATTGGAGCGGGTCCCAGTGGCTGACTGGTATACGAGTTCGCCCTGTAACCGGAAGGTCCTGGGTTCGAACCTCAGTGGATGCGTACCGTCGATGATTCTCAAACTGGGATGAAACAGATGTCCAGTACTCCCTGATTTTCAATGGTTCTCTAACTGATATCAATCCATGATCAACTCTTAAAAACAAAACTAATCCTTACAAACCAACTATAGAAAATCAATTTGATATATCGGGTCATTATATCGACAAAGTTTGTCTCGGAGTGAGTGGGCCACCATAATTCCAGCTCTCTTAAGATGTTCCTTTTCATATGACAGCACTAAAGAGGCTTTGAATTCCATATTATTTATATTATTTTGATTATTTTCACTGCTTCTGTTATTTTTCCTACAAGTCTTCATAGACTTTTTACTAAATTCTGGGGGGCAGTTATTCACCATTAATATCCCCCCTATTTGTTTGATTTGATCATTTAAATCTTCTGACTTACTAATTAGACTCTTAGCTACATTATACCAACAATTAACTAGACCTAAGTAGTTATTAGAATTTGTCAGTTTTCTATGGATGTTAGTATCTAACCCTTCACCTTGTTTAACATGACCAACCACCTTGTTTCTTTTCTAACTAAAAAGTGAATTGGATCCCATCTACTACTGAGTTTATGTGTGAAGAACTTAGGGATAAGTTCAGATGTTAAGACAGTGAATATGTCCTACACATATATCCGCCGCGATTCTACCCTTAGGAGACACAGCTTAGTCATCGAATCTTTGTTCATCGAACCAACACCGAACACGCAAAGCCTATATCGGATATACGGAAAATAATAATAAACAAAGGGCAGAGGAAATACAGATAAGGCGAATTGTGAACCGGTGTGAATAAACTTATATGATTATGGGCGATAAATCGCGTTGGAAACGTCATCCACTTATTAAAAGTGTATCACTGTTATACCAAATAAACATCTAATATGGGACTATTTCAAATAAGTTATCCACAAAAAGAACTATTAAACATCATCAGGTGAAAAAGAGGTGTATGTGAAGGAACAAAATTCTCACAATAAAATCAGACACAAAAACCACTTACTTTGAATAGGTTATATCAGATGAGATTACATTTGAATCAGTTAGTCCATTTTCTAAATTCATAACACCAGGATATGCAGGTGGAAGATGTGGTGAAAATGACAATGAAGAATGAGAACCTGTAGAATCCACTGATCTCAAAGCCATTAGTGGAGTATTTGGTGTACTAGCGATAAGTCTTGAGTTACTGTACATTACTGATTCATTGCTAGAATTCTGTCTGGATGATATCTGAACAGAATTATCCAAATTACAAGAATCACCACTCATTATTTTTATAGACGCCCCTCGATGTACGGATAAAGATGAAGTTGGTGAAGAAGAAAACAATCCAGACGCACTAACTATAGACTGAGACTCTGGAGGAGAGGTTGATGTAGGTGAAGAAACAGATGCCTGATCAGAAGTGATTTCCTGAGTGACAGCAAGGGGTTCAGTAGAAAGTGGGCCAGTAAGTGGCAACCGACGCTTCGGGTTGCGTGCAAATATATATGCACCTCGTGTTTGAGACAAGCTCCCAGCAGGTGGTATCTGATTGACCATTAAACGATGACGCCGACCAGCTCCAGGAAAGCCAATAAAATCATTGGAATGTGTGGGTCGTTTCCGTAGGCGCAGACTGATATGCTGTGAAGAATGCCTCATTAAATCAGCAACACGATAGTGAAGCCAACCAATCTGGGAATTTTCAAATAATGTAAAGTAGGGTAACCTTTTTTTCAAAAAATATCAAGAATATCTAACAGGAATAATTAAATTACCTTTCAAATACTGAAACATAACTAGGAGGAAAAGAGGTATTATGGAGCATTTATTATTGAAATATTTGAAGATTGTACGACTCTTATCTTACATATTGACTGAGTTATTATCAGCATGTTAATATTCCTCACCACTAAATAAGACAAAAGGTTTAGCAGCAAATGAGGACCTTATTTAATTTATTTAACTAGAACAATCCTAACAAGTGGTAGTGGTGGCTGAGAAAGCTAACTCCCAATGGTTCAAAAGATGGATTTTTCCGGCTTCCTGCGCGATACCGCTACTTCTACTCGAGTTAATAATGGCTAAGTATGTTGTGATATTGATTTGAAAAGTAAAATCAACTAAACGAGAAGAATTACTTTCATTTCATATAAAAGTAGACAACTGGTCTCGAGACTTATAACTAAAAATATTCATCACAAGAAAACTACTCAAGATTTAGAAATTACTTCAGTCACATAACAACGAACTATCAATGAATATCTTTGGAAATGCAATCAACCTGAAGTAAATATAGGTAAATTGCGAAAGTGACCATAGGTAATAAAAGTTACATCGCTATTTGATAGTGTCACAACCTAACACGTTACACAATAAGCGCGTTTAACACACCAAGAAATCACACATCACGAAGAAAGTAACGTGTTGCAAGTTAAACTATTAAGGAATCACACACAAGAATCTTCGCACTTTGGCACCGATTAGTTAGAGGTTTGTTTTTTTATTCCTTCACGTTCTCAGTGAAACATAGGGCTTCAGGCCAGAGACTTGAAGTTTCGGTAGCAGTGTTTATTTTTACAGGATGGGGTTGATAACCTCATGCCCAACCTTTCCTCTTTACCAGCTTTTTTTGTCACTGGCTTAGCGAGGTAAAGGAGTATTTCGGCCGGACGCCCGACCATGTGCATGATCAGCAAGCGTCCTAACCGCTGTGCCACCGACGCCTTTGTAGCTTTGTAGTCTTTCCGTAAGTCTTTCTCACCGGACCGAAAAGTTTTCATATACACTCATCTGATAATCAAATATGCAAACTTCACCGATCTCCTACAGAAATGGTGAAATATTACATTACATAAGGCTGTCAATAATATGCAAAATGATAAACTGAATCAATTTAGGTACAAAGTCTAAACAATATTCTCCAAGTATAGTCCAAAAACTTACAACTATTTGTTCATTCACCTCAATTACTTCGTCGCCTTTATTAACTTTTCCCGTACAGAATGCTGGAGACTTAAACAAAATGCAAGATAAATAAGAAATAGAATCCACAAAAATTTCTGTGAAAAAAATCCAACTACTGAGTATCTGGTAAAGAGGTAAACTAAAGCGACATTTTTTATGAGTACCCAGTACAGATCACTGTCGATGTGAAATAAAACTTACTTGGAATCTGAGGCCACAATTAGTGCATTCGACCTCTGTTATATTAACTGCAGTGATGAATACTAATAATTCATGTGTAATACAAATACTTAGATATATACCAAAAATATGTAATGGAAATACATAAATAAAAGCAAATCAATATTAAGTACTACTTATTACGTTAAGAAAAAAACGGCTGTGGATTGATAATCCAGAAAATTACTCAGTACTGAGAAACATTACAATATTGCGAACAAAAACCCTTACAAAACCAATACTTGAAAAATCATAGAATTGCTGACTAGGGATCTAAGTCATGTACAAAAATATAGATTACCTGAATAGATTACATACGAGTCAATTGCTAGACCCTTGATGATATCAAAGTCTTTCATAATGGTGTACTCATTCCTCATCATGTTTGGAATTCCTAACATTCTCGCTAATCTTGATTTTATTATTCTGTCATGTCTTATACGCTTGTCTACAGTATTCACATTTCTGTGCATTCCTTTATCTCGTATTTAACCCTTCGAAGTGTATTAGGCTGAGTTAATGTCCTCCTGTGTGAAATTCTATATTTAACCGTTTACTTCTTCCGTATTTCCCTTTATATGAGTAGACTGAATTGATCAAATGCATTGATACATCTCAGAGTTAACATTCAGTATCTAGATAACGGCTTAACTTGAGAAAACTAATTGCTCACGCCCAATCACCCGGAAAAGTTTTCATTTATGAGTCTGTGAACCACACCGATTGTGTGGTGCAGATATTGACAAGCAGATCAGGCTGAAGCAGGTGGGGTTGGATTTGAACTTGATACCTATTGACTACAAATATGTGCGACAGACAGTGGGACACTGGTAAACTAAAAAAGTTCTGTGAACAGGTCCATTCATTTAAAGTCAGATAAGGAGGCAGGAATGTGGATAGACACACCTGCACCATTTGATACAGACACGTCGAGAAGCAACTCATCGGGCATAAATGGACTTTTTTAGATACAGGGCTTTCAGGATGAAAAATCACAGCAGGTATCTCCTTCGGTCACTCTCTGTTCTACGTGAAAGTGTATTTATGTTCTACAAAACACTACATGGAATAAAAATTATGAATGCAACTAGAAGGCTGGTTGAAAGTCCCTACAACTATCAAATGCGAAGAACTACGCTTAACAGATATAGGTTTGCTTACCTCATCCTGAACAGAGACTATTACATGGACGTTGTTGATTGTGGATCGGAAGTTAAAACCCTGGAATGAAAACAAGAAACAATCTCAAAGACTACAACTTTAAAATGAGGGGTCTATGCATTTGTCTCCTTCAATTAGTATGATTATTATTACGAATATCACACGAATAAACTGACTAAATAACCCTATTCTCCGATAAACAGGTGAGCTAATCCTAACACTCCTTTAAGAGAGGTGTTAGTTGCGGTAGAAATAAATCAGATAAATACTACGAAAATCCACTAAATGAATATGTTGGTATAAATGAAAACAACGATGACTAGTTTTATCCAACAAAGAATCACGTTCACAGGAGAGATTAATAATATACACCTACTCTCTGAATTGTTTCTTTTATCTAGAGGATGGCTATGTGATGTACAATAACTTTCAGAGAATTATTCTAGAAAAGATTAAATAAAGCACGGTAACAAGTCATGAAGTTGCTTATTAGTGGTCTAAGTCATACAGAACACAAAATGTTTGGACAATACCAAAGAAATGATAGGATTCAGTTCTCTGAAACTACAGCACGGCTTTAAATTAGTGGACACAGATCACTGATATAAGCATTTAACTTTAAGTCAGTGGGTCCCAAATCGCATCCTCACTTTATCTACTTCATACCGGAGGAATGATTGAGATCAATAGTCCCCATACAGTCTGGTAAATAAAGAACGTGTCACAAATGGCTAAGTTTTAAACTTCAAATCTAATGTTTAATAAGAACAACCAGGATTTAAAACGTAGGCAATAAAAATAAGAAGCGACTGACAATCATTTACATAGTACTTTCCAATCACTAAGATAAATATGCTGGATTACACCATTAAACAAAGTTATGACCACATCAAAAGTCGTCTAAAATATGGTGTACCACAAACCATGTCACTTCAGTTGTGAGGACACCGAACATTGTTTTACAAGCAAAGATTAGAAGTAATGAGGTAATATAACACAGTATCTGCCTACATCCTATATATGAAAACTCGTAAAACACCCGTCAAAAAATAACTTGTGAAAAAGGGGTTACCGAAAACAGTATCACTGTCAGTACCACTTTCTACGTCAGTCGCCGAAGAAAGAACTCGGAGTGCGAAAATACCGAAGTGGTTCTAGATACAAATAATCTGGAGATGATGTCAGGTAGCATTGTTCGTTTCTGCATCTGTTACTGAGAAGCTGGCAGATGGAATTGTTTAAAATAAGATAACAGAATCTATTTTACTCTCAAAATTCCAAGTAGAAAATCTCAAATCTAAAAAAACGTAAGTAACAGTACGCACGATGCAATTTTGCATCCTGTTTTCAGAGGAAAGACTACTAGAGCTAACGCAATTCTTTGACTCTACACATTAGTAAATAAAGTCTGCACATTAGATACACAGCAATAAACGTCTCAGCAAAACATCTATTTATTTACATTCAGCAGCCAATAAATTATGTGGCATTTAACCCAAAAAAGGTAACATAAATACTGCATATTTAAAAGACTTACAAAATCAGCTGAGTCTAGTTTCCGTATTTGTACAACTTCCAGGCCGCAGGGTGTCAATAGAATGGAGTCGCCACAATTCTGAAGTACATCTTCCACACGACTCCTCATAGGTTCAATCTTAAAATTATTTCAGTGTGATTTCAAGACCTACATAGTCTATTACTTCCTTAAAATGTTCATTACATTGAGTGGTAATGGCCTGTTGAGCCAATCTGTTAGTGATTATGGCGTTTTCAACAAGAAACTGTCGGAAAACCATCATGTCAGGTAGAAGAGAAAAAGGAGGTCTGTTAAAAAATAGATGTGAAGCACACAAACTAACCGTTCTAGCCAAGATGCGGCGTTACCTATAGTAGACATCAAGTTCAGTATACAGTTAAGGACGTAAGATACAGCTCCTTGAATATCTGAAAGTATCCCTGGATAAGGACTATCCGCATCTTGTCTTTTAGTTATAGCCATGAGAGAGTTTATGGCACTGACGATACAAACACAGGAACGTGAGACACGTAATAAAACTGATTGCAATGTTTCATTATCAAATGATGAAAATTGGTATTGAAGCTGTTTGACCTTCTCCATGATAATCATTTGATGGCCAATCTTTTGAACTCCATACTTCCCCAAAACATCAGCTGTTAGTGAACTTAACCATTTGCCACTTATATTTTTCGAACTAAAGGGTGACAGATAGGGTTCTAAAGCATCATCCAGGCCTAGGAACCGAAATTAACAGAAACTTTGAGCATACCGGAGAGCCAAGATATGACCTGAGTTGTTGTCCAATTAATGTAGGACTGCGGCTTCTCGAAGCCATCCATTGTAGCGACACAAAGGTCGCAATTTTGGATTTCGACCAAAACGATTCAATGTCCAATGTTGGTGTAACCACAGTTACTTCTCACTATCAAGAGATTTTTAGGGCATCCGGAACCTTTAAACTCAAAATCCTGTATTTAGTGACGCCTGATATTTACGACAGGTGGTTTGTTTGCGGCTTGTTCAGCAGTTACACGTTTGGTATGTTAAGTCACCAGTCCCTCAACTTATTGGAAAGAACAGCACCGGAAATTGACTGGAAAAAAAACACAAAAATATTCGAGACGAAACAGAAGCAGGATTTGACAATTGCGGACAACGACATAGACAGTAGGGGGAGGATGATTGCAGTTAATGTTAGGTGGCTTTGGAGTCATTGATATTTCTTTCTACTTCCCCAGAAATATATACACCGCAAATATAAGCCATATTCATGATGCAAACATCTCGTTCCACCAAAACAGATGCTGGCCTGCATTACTTCAGTATTTTGTACATTTAGATGAGAAAATATCCATCAATACTGAGAAATAGTGAAAGCCATATTTGACTTGTTTACATATCTGAGTTTTATCATTTTGCGGGTCTTGGCAATAATTCATTCAGCTAACTGCGGTATAAGAACAAATAAATAAAATTTGCCAATTGACGGCTACTGATGCCGACTAGTTCATCATTTATGGCTCTTAATGAGGAGTGAGGATAAACGTTATCGCGTTTCAAATTTACCTTGCACCATTAATGTGCTCCAGATTTCAAAAGAAGTGTAAACTAGGATGACTGAATTTATTGAATACTTAAGTCATATATGGTCATGCATGTTAATCATGTAAACGCTCAATTCAAGTAACTGAATGTAATCTGTATCGCCTTTAGGAGTGTCAAGTCGCACTGACGCCTGTCACTTAATGAAATGCAGTGGAAGCATATGTATTTGCACTAGAACAAAAGCATCCGAAAATCACTGGCGAGTGTCTTACAACTTATTGCCAGATACATTTGGGTAATCAAATGTGGGAAATGATTCTTTATTCATTAGCAAATGCGGGTAAGTTCGCTCATTCACTTATAACCTTGCAGATATTCTTTTTTCCAGCTTGTGATACGGGATAACTTCGGATGTGGGCATGCAGTTCTGTTTAATTAAATTGCGGGAGAATTTGGACACTGGGAAGTTTCTGTCGAATAATGGGAGATACTTTCCAAACTATGACTTTTGTCTCCGTGCACAGCCCATACTCGTTAATAAAATTTTCTATCTAATATTCTTGTGTTCAATTTGTTATCCATGAGGTAGGAGTACTGCATGCTAGACCGGTATTCCCTAGGATATGAACTCATCACTATACCTAAGTGTAATTCTGTAGAAACAGTATTGATTGATATAAGTGGTGAATTATAAGTACTTCAGTCAAGCCTAAGCATCTGCCTAAAGTTACGCGAGTTCGTCTCCTAGTCATAGGTAAATCTGTAGGGACCAATGATAAAATTACCTAACTTCAGTATTCGAAAAATAGGAATAGAACTTGGGCACTGCAGTTGAGTTCAATTTCGTATAAGGTTAAGCTTATTCGAAAGTAGTGCAATACTATTATTTCATTTAAAGCGTGATGTCAATCACTATGACCACGGGTGTGAAATGAAGTCTACACGAGACAATAAATTGAATAGGTTGAGCTGTAGCAATCGTAGTAAGATTTCGCTTACGTTGAATTATGCCAACAATTACTTTCTCAGGTCTCATTGATAACTCAGCCCTCCATCTCATCCTGATGACAAATTTAGTTTTACTGAGATAGAACAAGATAAGTATGGTAAACAGGATGTTAAATATACTTAATGAAAAATAATAAGCAAATATCTTTACACTACTGTTTTTCGTAATTATTTCGGTGATGCCGAACTGGTGTAACCAGGTTGACTGACGTTACCGGACATCTGCAAATAAGTGAATAAAGTGCATTTTTTGATCACTGAAGATAGGAAACGGTAATATAAGTGTCAGTCTCGTCTCATAAACCGTTAATGCCCAGCTCTCGCTACGCTCGGGCCCACGCTGTTCCTTTGAGTTTCAGAAACGCTTAGTAATAACGGACGCAAAAACCAAAACACCGATCTGCTGCTTGCTATTTCTTTATTGTTACACCAACATATAAAAGGAATAAACGAACTAAGCAACTAAGGTCTGAAAACAAATATTACAATAATAAATCTTTCTATTACTTCTGACGATGTTTCACTCTTCTTTCTGAACAGCGACCGATGAGACGATGACTGCCTCCGGAAAATTGGGGAAGTTTATTTTGGGCAAACAACCAAGAATTGATCGTTCAATCTTCAACTCCATTGACAATAAGAGTTAAACGTTTTATATTTGCCTACCTTTGCTGAAAACGTTTCATTCTCATTTCTCATTCTTTGGTCATGACAGCATTCTTCTGTGGTTTTCACTGTCATACACATTGTTCATCTTGTAAAATATAGCACTAAGCAAACAATAATAATAATTTAATATGTCATATAAACGGGTGTTTACAAGGAATGCATACCATTTCTACAGGGGCGATAAGTTGTTGTAAATTGCAATCGTGAAGTATCATGAATTAATACTTTTTCAAAAGTTTAAATTGTTCATTTATTGTAGAAGCAATCAGAACAGATTATCATAAATGTTGAAACGTAAACCCTTCTCAATGAACACTGTATGTTTGGGTAAGTGCTGCGCTTTCACGCAATTTCAGGGGGAGAACAAATTCCTGAGAAAATACAAAATGGAATAAAATACAATTGTCAATAATGTGTCATTGGAATTCCAACTACAAGACATACGCGGAAAGTGGCTGTAGAGTCCTTGGAATGAAAGTACACATTTGCAATGTTTAACGCTAACCACATCGGTGTAAGTGTGGAAACTATGACGTTTTCAATGAAAATACAGCTTTGCTCAAAAACTAGTGTTGTCGAGTTTTTAGTCAAAGCAACCAGTGGTGGTAGAAAATTCCAATTCAGTTTTCGAGTGGTGAGTTGTAATCAGTGAGATGTGTGATAATTGAAATATGAAAATTAATTGAGATAAGTTGAACGTGAATTCAAACGTTGGCAAACAATTCTAACGACTGTGATGTCAGTGTCCATGCTACGTAGATTGAATAAGTTGTCTGAATTTCAACTAGTTTGAGTAAGTGTGTACTGATGTATAGCATGTGGCTGTTCTCTCTACCTCCCTCCCTCTGTTAACTGTCAAGCTGCACAACCATCTTCTACACTAACTGGCTTTTATCATGTCATCCTACTGAAAGAGATTCATCGGTATACACGCTTAACTGAATCACCCATCCGGTGCGTTCTGTGGGCAGATGAGAGGTGAAATCGGTCTTCCGAATGTCAAACAATCTGACTATTCAATGTGGAAATTCTTGTTGGTGTGGATACACTGGGCGACAGTGATTGTGCTATTGTGCTGTTCTTTCTCACCGTTTTCCCCTTGCAAAATGGTGAAGTCGAAATACACGAGGATAGAAGGCGAGTCGGCAGTTAACTTCATGAAATACTGCATGACAGGAAACAGACTTTGTCAGCCACGTCTCGTAAACCGTTAATACCCAGCTCTTGCTACGCTCGGGCTCACGCTGTTCCTTGAAGTTTCTCAGAAACGCTTAGTAATAACGGACGAAAAAACCAAAACACCAGTTGTTGACTCGAGGATTCTTTATTGTTACACCAACATATAAAAAATATTTCCACTAAGGTCTGTGAACAAATATTACAATAATAAATCACAATATTACTTCTGACGGTGTTTTACTCTTCTTTCTGAACAGCGACCGATGAGACGATGACTGTCGTATTGATGCCTCCGCGAAAATTGGGGAAGTTGGTTTTGAGCAAACAACCATGAATTGATCGTTCAATCTTCAACTGCATTTCTCATTTTTTTTTAATAATCATAATAGTATACTCTCATTTTGTACATGAGAGACGCCAGTTTACAGGCATCATCAATATGATAAATTACATATACGATTAGCAATCATAATTAATAATAATGTTTTAATAAAATACACATTTTTTCCTACTTGTGTAGGACACACCAAATATACAGGCATGGATAAGCATTATATAAATTTCATAAATTTGGTTTATGGTTAAGTTACATGGTTGCTGGCGTTTTTGTCTTAGGTCTGTGGGAACAATATGATAACCAGTCATTCAATGGAGCACGTCATGAAATATAGGAATATTAACTTCGCATTAACAAAAAAACCCAAGTAAGTTTTGGATGGATTAAAAATACTTGGGAAAAAATAAAGCTTGAAGTAATTCCTCAATATAACTTGGGTGTGTACAAATCCGAATCTTATTTTTGATTTGATTTATATCCAAATTGGGTAATAAGGAAGCTATTTTTACAGATACGATCAGTTATGTTATAAGCTACAATCGTGACGTTGTATTACAAATAGATACTTTTCCATTGGTATAAGAGTATATTCCACAAATGTAATCCAGGTTGCGTCGTGGAGAAAGTTAATTCGTTATTAACCAGGCAACTGAAAGATACGGGACCAATAATGTTTGCAGATCATTTGTCATTGTAAATGGTCAAATATCCACATTATTCATTCTCATTCAAAAAGTCAAATGGAAGCTGAAATGGTGAGAGAAAAAAGAAGACAAACAACAGCAACGCAAAAGAAAGCAACGGGAGTCCTTAAGGAGTGATTAATAAATATATACATATATATTCTGTTTAGTAACTGTGGTTATTTTGGTACACAAACTAACTAGTCCCGTTATGCTAACTTTTATATTATGTGTAAACTAATATTATTACTGTCCTGTGTAGAAATGTTAATCATCTAGTTCCAATAATATTAAAATTTATAATTGTAGTTTGTTGTAACTACACGTTTAAAGAACTTAAAATATCTATGTAGGGTGAAAAAGAAGGTGTAAGAGTCAGGCGCAAAAGTGCATTGTCATCTTTGAGTAGTCTGGTGAC